TTCATTAATGCTGACAACAAAATTTCAACACCAATCAATTAAGACTGCATTCCTGGAGAACGTTGAAACTGCTGTAAGTTAGGTATTAAGTCTTAGTTGACTTACCACAGGCACTTCCATTTTGGATTGTGGTTTTCCTTTTAGCAGCATTCATTTAAAATGAAATCAGAGTGAGCAAGCACTTTTTTTTTCCTTCATTTTAATTTTGGAGTGTGTATATGTGGGTTTATTTATTTATTTAAACCCATGTTCAAAACTTTAGGATTTTCATGGGACCTTTTGGCCCCTAAGAACATTTAATTTAAATAATGCCAGGACAGGATGATGGAATCTTACATATACTAAAAGGTAGCTGGTTATTTATTTTAATAGCCCTGATTTTCTGGGACTATTCAGATTAAGGGAGTCTCAATATTAACATAATGGCAGTCATGAGGGGTTAGTTGTTACTTACAATCTTAATTACTATTTAGTACATTAATGAGGCTTATTCATTGGGAGAAAAACATAGGTTTCAATGTCTTTGTTCTAAAATGAATGTCTTTGTTCTAAAATGAATCAGAGTGTAAACTTACTCGGAATTTTCTAGTTTAAAACCTTTTCTTTCATTGATAGCATTATTCTGTATTTTATCTTTTAACAGGCTCTGCATAATACAAGGCTCTTATCTGCTTATTCTGCCATTGACCTCAGAGTGAAATATTTGTGCTATACCATGAAAGTATTTACAAAGGTAAGTATGCTCCTGTTGTGATTATCAGAAAATGACATTGATTTTTCAAACTTTGTTGAGAAGATAAGTCTATATATTGTAAAAAGCCATAGCCATGTCAAATGGTTCTTTTTAACTTTAAAATACCCTACTTAGCAAACAGTTAAATATTTAAACTAAATTAAATCTTGACAGTGGTCTGACATTGGGGTATAACAGATTAGGTTTAAATTAAATTAATATTACGTAATAATCTGATCTTGCTTGTGACTGATAACTCCACTGCTCTTTTGTTGTTTTGTTTTGTTTTGTTTTTTAAGATTTATTATTTATGCATACACGAGCTGGGGTACAGGCCAGGGGTGTGGGGGGTGAGAGGATTCACCAGAGAGAGTAGAGAGCAGAACAGGCAGATCTACTGAAATATACTACTGAGGGGAGCAGCGAGCGAGTCAGGAGATGTCTGCTGTACGTGTGGGTAGCTCCTGACTGGGGATCGAATTCGTGCTGCAACAGCTGTGGATAGCTTCTTAGATTGTGTCTTAACCCCTTGCACCACCAGGGAGGCCTTCTATTGGGGCTTTTTAGTTTTATTTTGTTTGATGTTCTCTTGGTTGGTCTTACTTTTTTTTTTTTTAAGATTTATTTTATTATTTATGCATACAAGAGCTGGGTTGTAGGCTAGAGATACAGGGGATGAGAGGATTCACCAGAGACTGAGTGGGGAGCAGAACAGATTGACTGAAATACACTGCTGAGGGGAGTAGTTGTCAAGACAGGAGAGGTCTGCTGTGCCATGTATGTTGGCTCCCTGGGCTGGGATGCTGCAGTGGCTGCTGATAGCTTCTTAGTATTGAGACTTAACCCTTTGCGCCACCAGGGAGGCCCTGGTCTTATTGGCATAGTCTGCCATTTGAAAATGTTAATAAAATTTTATGTTAATCCCCTATATAAGCACCTTGCACTAAGTGATAATAGAATAGCTGGAAACTTGTCAGAAAACATTGATGATCTTCCCTTTGTTATTTGTTTTCCTTTCCTTCAGATGTGCGATATTGGTGATGCATCTAGAGGCAGCTTATCATCATATGCATACACACTTATGGTGCTGTATTTTCTCCAACAGAGGAATCCGCCAGTCATTCCTGTCCTTCAAGAGGTACTAGTAAAAGAAACTGTATTCCTCATCTGTAAAGCTAGGTGATCTTTGAGCTGTTTTTCTTAGAAATTTTTGTATCAATGTTTTAAGTTTGTAATCCATACTAATATTTTAAAATTAATTTCAGATATATAAAGGTGAAAAGAAACCTGAAATATTTGTTGATGGCTGGAATATTTATTTTTTCGATCAAATAAAGGAACTGGTACGTATTTTCAAAGTAACGATTTTTTTTTTTACATCCTTGACTGATAGTTAATGATACTGCTGTATAGTCTCAACAACTATATTATCACATTATATTTACCTATATTTATCATAGCAAAAAACTAGCATATATAGATGTTTCCTTTCAAGTTGAAAACATTTTCTCTAAGCCATGTAAGTTTCAGAGAACTACTAATATGCAGGATTTCTTTAGTTTCTAATAATTCCAAATAATTCAGTAGCTTTTTTCAAATGAACAGATATTTTCTCTGCCTTCCTACAGGGTTTGGAAAACTTTCTTTGAGTTATAGAGACTTAATAACTCAGGCATCACCAATTTCTAAATTGTGTGTTCAGTTTGTTACACTAGCATGCAATCTCAAGTTTGACTTTTAAAAAAAAAAATTTATTTATTTATGCATTCAAAAAAACTGAGGTATAGGCCAGAGGTATGGCGGGGTGGAGGGGAGTGAGAGGATTCACCAGAGACAGAGTGGGGAGCAGAACAGGCAGATGTACTGAGATACACTGCTGAGGGGAGCAGTGGGCAAGACGGAAGAGGTCTGCTACACCCTGTGGGTTAGCTCCCTGGCTGGGGATCAAACTCATGCTACAGTGGCTGGTGATAGCTTGATAGCACTGTGTCTTTACCCCCTGTGCCACCAGGGAGGCCCTGAAGTTTGACATTTCAAACCCTGATCTCTCCTTATCTTTGAGTCATAGGGTTAAGATTAATAAACTCATGTAAATGTTATTTTAAAATGTAAAATGAAAATTACATAATAGTTTTATGTGTTTAAACTATGGTTAAAAGTCCAAATTTACTCCCTATGGCATAAATGATTGTTAAAATAATATTTTACTATAACACATAGTATCTTTTGTTCTCTTCTATTTCTAGCCTACCTATTGGCCAGAATATGGAAAAAACACAGAGTCTGTTGGGCAACTATGGTTGGGACTTCTTCGTTTCTACACAGAAGAATTTGATTTTAAAGAATATGTCATTAGCATCAGGAGAAAAAGTCTACTTACAACTTTCAAGAAACAGTGGACCTCAAAATATATTGTTATTGAAGGTACAAATAAAATCAAAGTGAAATTGAATTAAATATAGAGCTTGAACTATGAGGGCATTTTTCTTTATCCTTAGAGAGCTATTCCAGGGCAGCCCTAAGCCCCTGGTTGGGATGCACAGTGCCACTGTCCTGCTCTTGTCTACATCAGGCACACTTGTCTGTTTCCACCTAAAGATAAATTTAAATAATTCATGCCCTTTGTGGGATGTGATACAAATCTGAAAGACTTTGGTGATCATTACCAATATTTTACTATTGCTGGACACTTAATGGATGCTTAACAGAGATGAGCCAGCTTCAAGATAAGGAGGCCCCCCCTTTTTTTTACTAATTTTTTTTAATATTAAAAAAGGACAGGTTTATTTTTGTAAAAGATTTATTTATGCATATAAGAGCTGGAGTGTAGGCCAGAGTTGGTGGGTGGGAGGGGTGAGAGGATTCACCAGAGAAAGAGTGGGGAGCAGAACAGGTAGATTGACTGAAATACACTGCTGAGAGGGGAGCAGCGGGCAAGACCAGAGAGGTCTGCTGCGCCATGTGGGTCAGCTCCCTGGCCGGGGATCGAACTCATGCTATAGTGGCTGCCTGTATCTTCATAGTGCTGAGACTTAAGCCCTTGTACCACCAGGAGGCCCTGGGCAGGTTTATTTTAAAAAGGAGAGGGAAGTAAAGGACACTTGCACGGACACAAGCAGGCAAAGAGAGCTGCCCCTAAAAGGGAAAGGTTTGATAAGAGACTCCTACATAGGGCCTCCCTGGTGGCAGAAGCACCTATGAAGCTAGCTGCAGCCATTGCAGCATGAGTTCAGTCCCCAGCCAGCCAGGAGCTACCCACATGGCATAGCAAACCTCTCCTGACCCGCCTACTGCTCCCCTCAGCAGTGTATTTCAGTCAGACCGCCTATTCTGTTCCCTACTTTCATTGGTAAATCCTCTCACCCCCCTTAGCTCTGGCCTGTACCCCATTTCTTGTATGCATAAATAAATAAATCTTTTTTTAAAAAAAGAGAGACTCCTACGTAGTCACAGGCAGGCAGTCTTAGGAGGAGACTGCTGCTTTGCAAAGGGAGAGGCTTAGTGAGCGAAACACCTGCATAGTCAAGGCGGGCAAGAACACTATCAGGGAGGACCTTTAAAGCCTTCCTAATTGAGGGTTAGCAGAGTGCATTAAAAGTAAATTTTAACGTTATTTATTTGCAATTAATTGATGGAGGATCTTACATCTTATGTAATTATATATGAATTTTTACATTTATTTTGGCCATACTGAAACCCTTTTGCCATTGAATGCAAGGATCCAGGATCATTGATGTTTGCATTTGATTATTTGCAATTTATGGGATTTTAATTTTAAAGAGAAAGTGGAATTTAAATGTTTAAAAATGATCCAAGAAAAGACAAGTTATATTGTGATTTTATCTTATTATTTTACTTAATATATACTCATATCACCTAGATAATGAGTTGCTCAAGGTTATGCTTTTATCATTACTTTAGCCTAATGACAATTTCATAATATCCGAACATTTCATAAGAGGAAATTCAGGTCACCACAGGCTATGGAACTAGTTTTTTACCACCATTTATTACATGAGCTAATCTACTCAGCTCTCACATCTTTGACATCAGTATCTTTTTCATCATTCCTATCACTTTCTGTGTCATTTAACAAATAATATTCCAGAGCACAATGTATACGTTTATCTAAGATGTTTGGGTGTTAATAGTTAAGCTTTTTTGGGAATCCTTATAAGTATTTACTAGAAATTGAGATCCCAGTAGCCATTGCTATGCCACATGAGTAGGTGTGTGGTGTTTGTGTTTTAGCTTCCCTTATAAGTGTGTTTTATGATACCCACGATAAATTATTCTCTAAAATGATCTTTGAAAGGCTTGTTAGTTAGCAAAATATTCAGTGCTAAATCTTTTAAATTTGTTACCTCTATGTGCGTCCAAAACTGTCATTGTCAGGTAATACCAGAATATATCTTCTCAGAGCAGTATTTTATTGCAAAATGAAGCAACTCATAATGTGAAGGACTTTATATAAAGATTCAAATATAATTCAATACACTCTTTTCTGGACACTTGAGGAAAAAACTGCCTTATATTTAGGAATATATTTTACGTAACTGAACTACAGATTTAAAACTCGGTTTAAAAACAGTCATTTAATACTTTCAGTAATAAAGTATGAAGCACTTTGTCCTTGTTATACTTACTGTCTGAGTTAGGGGCATTTCCTATTTGACCCTTATTAATTTTCTTTGCTAGATCCCTTCGATTTGAATCATAATCTTGGAGCTGGATTATCAAGGAAAAGTAAGTTACTTTGTTTGCAAATATTAATGTTATCTCTCTTCCTTGTGATCTATCTAATTGAGCACTTTTTTTTTTAGTGACAAATTTTATAATGAAAGCATTTATTAATGGCAGAAGAGTATTTGGTATTCCAGTCAAAGGACTTCCAAAGGACTACTCAAAAATAGTAAGTGTTGGAAATACCCAAAAAAAAAAAATTCTGACAGCTTTTACTAAGCACCTAATTTGTACACATTCAGTAATAAAAAATACTCTGGTGAGTCTATGCAAGACATATATACAATATAAAGTAATTGCTAACACCATTTTTAGAAAATCTCTGTTTTGAGGCCAATAATCAGGAAAATACCTAGTAATGGATTTTAAGTGGGAAAACTGCTTATCATAACAGATAAAGGGGCCTTGCTGTCACTGAGAGTTAGCTCCATGCCAGCCTCTGTCAAGCAAAGTTTACACCTAAATAAGAGCCTCCTTCACTCTCCTCATGTGAAGTGCAAATTTTTTTTTTTGTCTGTATACCAACAGGAATAAATCCTTTAGATGGGAATAAGAAAGAAACAATGTTCCCTGTGTTAGAAAACCATGTGTTCTCATACAACCTTACACTCAGGTTTCTGTGGGGCTGTACTTGGTAAAAAAATAAGACGACATTGAATAATAAACATTTATTTCAGAGAGAGAAAAGGGAATTAGAAAGTAGAAGGTTTTATGTTAAGGATAAATTTATGTTTCCCCTTGTGTAAGTTTTCTTAATGAACACTTAATTTGCTCCCATTTGTTTACCATGGGATCATATATATCAAAAACATAGAATGTTTTTAGCACAGTGGATTCTTTGGATCTGCCAGTTATTTATATTTTCAAAAGACCTTCTGTTTTAACAATATTAACTTGTATTAGTAACAAAGGACTAGAGTCCAGACAATTGTCTGCTTTCCTCTGGTATTTTCCATCATAACAAATCGAAACAACGCATAGCTTCCTTTTTTCTCCCCTCTGTAATCTACAATGCAAATCATATTCTCAATTTATTAAACTAAAACATTTTCATTTTCTAGGGAAACAGAACTTTTGTAACTGACTTGGGCTCCCTCCTAAGTCCTAGGGAATCTGACTCACAGAGAGGTGTAAGGCTTTTATGTAGACATGTGCTTTTGAAAGGCTATTTTTATGGCTAAACTTTGTTCTGTGTGATGAAAAGGAATAAACAAGAAGAATTTGAGTGAAACTACTGAATTAGACCTCTTCATGGTTTTAGGCTTTAGAATTAAACAGTATAGTAATTAATTAAAAATAACATCGACATTGAGATGTAAGATCCTTGATTGATACGTCATTTCTTGTGTTTTGATATGACATTAAGAGTTCAAATATTTTGTTTATCTTCTGTTAGGAGTACTTTTTTGATCCAGATGTGCTGACTGAAGGAGAGCTGGCCCCAAATGATAGATGTTGCCGAATCTGTGGGAAAATTGGACATTTCATGAAGGATTGTCCTATGAGGAGAAAGTAAGTAAATATTCAGCAGGAGTAGTTGTGTTTTTACTTTCTTCTTCAGTTTTTAAATGACCTTCTATTTATTTTTTAAGATTTATTTATTTATGCATATAAGAGCTGGGATACAAGCCAGAGGTGCTTGTATGTGTGAGAGGATTCACCAGAGGAGGCAGAGAGGGAAACAAAACAGGCAAACTGACCGAAACACACTGCTGAGGGGAGCAGTGGGTGTGGCAGGAGAGGTCTGCTGTGCCATGTGGGTTGCTCCCTGGCTGGGGATCCGAATTCGTGCTGCAGAGGCTGCGGATAGCTTCATATGCTGTGCTTAACCCCTTGTGCCACCAGGGAGGCCCATGACCTTACATTTTAACAAAATTAATTTGTATGAAATTCAGAAGTTCTCAATAAATTTAAGATTTTTACAGTGAAAATACAGTGATTTAAAGCACTACTTCTAATTACACCTGACTAGGATTAACTTACCTTCTGTGGAAGGTCTTGCAGGCCCAGCCCACTTTCCTAATTTTGGTCATGGCATGAATCATTCCACAGTCATTTGGTCATCAGCCTCTGAAACAGGGATAGAAGGCAAAAAGGGAACTAAAACTCTTCCATTTTATATAGCAGTGAGAAGTTCAGAATCACTTCAGTAATGAAAAGTATCAGTTATCAGTTATTCTTGTAAATTTATGGGTTATACCATAGTGAAATTTAGACTTACTAATTGTTTACTATAGTATAATGCTGTTCGCTTGTACGCAATTTGTTAATTGCCATGTCTGGTCACCATGCTTTCTTCTGGTGATGTTTGAGGGAGGGCAGAAGCCATGATTTTGTTGGCTGCTTGCTTGGAACTTACCGTTATTTTGGGTGGTGGTGGTGTTTTTCATTGAACAATTATTCTCATTTAAAAATAAGCTACATAAGGGCGTCCCTGGTGGCGCAGGCAGTTGAACGCCGCACTGTGGGGCTGTCCACAGCCTCTGATGTTGCAGGATCGATCCCTGCCGGTTGGCAGGAATCCCACAAGGCGAGGCAGACCACTCTTGTCTCGCCCGCTGCTCCCCTCAGCATTGTATTTCTGTCATCTGCCTGTTCTGTTCCCTGCTCTCTCTAGTGAATCCTCTCACCCTCCCGCGCATCTGGCCTATACCACAACGTTTGTAAAAAATAAATTAACCTTTTTTTAAAAAAAAAAAAATACGCTACTTAAAATGAGCCACCATCTAGAATTTGAGGCTCTTATTCAGTGCCTCTTTTGCTTTTCATTCAAATAACATTCCCTAACCATAGAGAGAAAGGAAAATACAGTCTCCTTATAGCCATCATTCCCTTGTGAACTGAAAATGCCACATCCCAAATTTCCAGTGCCCAGTAAAGATTGCTGATGGCCCAGAGAAGCTATTTAGCGGATCTCCACAAGGATAATTTGGGTTTTAGAATATCAATATCAAAGTAAGTATTAAACTAAAGAATTCCAGTAATTGCAAAAACTGGTTTTCCAGCACTGGTGTAATTGTGAAAATGAAGAAAAACTATGCTCTGAAGTCCTAAAGTTGTGTCTTGATAGAGAAGATGGACTTAACTTTGTTAAATGTTTGTTTCCCCTCTTTACCTTCTACTTTGGGTTATCTTCTGAACCTGAAGTTGTTAGGTTTCTATTTATGGAGTTTTCCTACCAAAGTTGTGTGTCTGCTTCTACAGAGTGAGGCGACGGCGAGATCAGGAAGATACCCTGAACCAAAGATACCCCGAGAACAAAGATAAAAGGAGCAAAGAAGACAAAGAAATGCAAAATAAGTACACAGAGAGGGAGGTATCAGCAAGAGAAGATAAGCCCATACAGTGCACCCCACAGAAAGCCAAGCCAGTGAGGGCAACTGTTGACCTCGGGAGGGAGAGAATTCTCAGACCACCAGTGGAAAAATGGAAGAGGCAGGACGACAGAGACTTAAGAGAAAAACGTTGTTTTATTTGTGGAAGAGAAGGGCACATTAAAAAAGAATGCCCACAGTTTAAAGGCTCTCCAGGTATGGACACCAATCACACCTTGATGTTTGCACTAACATCTCAAGGGAAATCTATTTTCTAGAGTTCTTTACTATTGTAGTTATATTTATTTCTTTAACAAATCAAAAAGAATTTTTTTTAAAGAAAATAAAATCCCCCTTTAATCATAACCCTTTAAATGCCTTAAATACTTATTCCTGGTTTTATTTGGAGACTTATGGAAGTCATTTGGTTGAATTTTTAATATCATCATAGAAATGAAAGCCTGGTCATCCCCAGTACCAAAAAAATGTAGCTTAACTGTAGAAAACAAGTCCCACTTGAGCTTCACTACTTGATGTGTCACTTTTGAAACAACTCAATGCCCAACATGGAGGAGGCATAGCTGACATTAATCTCAGGACACCATACTGTGCACACAACAGGTGAGCCACTGGTATTTTCTGTTTAGATGCATACATACAGATGCCTTGAAAATGGACATAGTCCACAGTGGCTCTAGCTGCAGAGGAGAGATATAAAGGATCTTGTCTTTGGGTTTTATCATTTTGATACTTTTCTGTAGTGAACATTTTTCTTATGATGAAGAAAAATATATCATCCATCATTCGTTCAAAATCATCCACAAATCTTGCCCCTTTGAGTTTTTGGATCTGATCTGGCCCTTTCTGTTAAATTGTGAAGTATCTGTTGTGTACCCTTTTTAACCGACTAGTAAGTGTAAGGGAATTGTGTGTGTGTGTGTGTGTGTGTGTGAGAGAGAGAGAGAGAGAGAAAGTTATGATTTACAGAGCAGTTGGTGCACTCATTTTTATCCTCAGGAATAAAACCCATGAAAGTAGATGAAATTTGGTAATTGTAGAAAAGAACCCCTGGGAAGTAATTTTTGATTAATGTAGTAACCCTATTCCTGTTCCCAGTTGTGTTTGTGGGCAGCGTAAAAAGTCAGTGCTGCTGACAGTTTCCTTAATGATTGTTCTTGCAAAGCCATATCTCTCTTCCATTTTATTATGACAGCAGTAGTATCTTTTTTAAGACAAAGTTTTTAGATCACCCATCACTTAATTTTTTAAAAGAGCTTTATATGGAAAGATGTGTGTTTTTAATTATTTAATTACTCATTTTAAAATAGGGCTTAAATCTTTGTTGGAGATACGGCTTTGGCTAAAATTTTCCTTTCCCTGCTTCTAAGGAACTCAGAGTCAACTCTCAAATTTGAACATTTTTGCCCTGACATTGGACATATAACAGAATAAAATGCTTTTCTTTTATGACTGTAAGAGGAAAATGAATTTTTCCTCTTACAAAAATTAAGATAGTAGCAATAGCAAACATTTATGGAGCATATACTCTGGGTCAGGCACTGTTTTAAGTAATTTATATGGATAATCTCATCTAATTTTTCACCATGATTTCATTAAATATAGTATTATTGATGCCCCCAGTTTACAGATGAGGAGACTGTAAATATTACCAATAAGATGTAGTTTTTATAAAATTGTGGAAGAACTCAAGGTCTTTATTTACTAATAGCATGAAGCACGTTATCATTGTGTTCTTGTTTGGTACAACAAAATTGTGAAAGAATGCCATTCCCCCAGCTTTGATGGATTTCTTCTTTTTAGCTAGTAGCAAGTTTTAAGTTCTCTACTAATGAATCCCCCAATATAGATCAGTGGTTCTGGTAAGATCATGGAGGTAGCAGCAAATCAAAGAGAGAAGAGGCTGTCTCAAGGAATGGTGGGGAGATGTAATTATCAGACCTAAGGAAAAGCATGCATCTAAAATCTTGGTTTCTTCAGTGCCAGTATTTATATATTAATGTACAATATGTACAATATGTATACATTAAATTAAGTAAAAGTAAAATAAGAGCAAAGGAGTAGTGTTAGAGTTGATTGTCCTTCGGTAGCAGTTAAAAATAATCAGCTGCTTCTGCCTGTCAAAAAGTTAATCTGTTCCCTCTTACTTTAAATGTTTTTTTGTCTGCACAATATACTATGTGGAGTGTCATGTCAACAGAAAATATTTCTGTGGAAGTTTAAAAACTTGAAATTGAAACTGCTTTCGATTTAAAGTAGGAACAAAAAGTACTAATTTCTTTCTTAGGTATGTCTAAATCAGGTTGTGTATTTGGATCCCCATCTTCACCCTTGAGACCAACTGGCCCATTTCCTCAGGTAAACCTAGCTCAGACCTGACCAGGAAGCCCTTTGGTCATCTGTCTATTCAGCAAACACTCCTGAGTGCTGGCAGCTCTGTGCCAGGTCCTGCCGTGGTGTTGGGCAGCCTCAAGCCCTGCTGCCTTCCTTGTGACTCATCCTTCTTGACTCTTCACTCTGTCCTCCGCTCGTGACAGCTTGTGATGCACTAGTTGGCAGCTTTAAGGATCGCTGCATATGTCTTGCTTTTCATTAACTTGCCACATTCTGCCACCCACATGCTTAACTTCAGCTTTCTTTGGATATGGTTACAGTTTTAAGACTGTTTCAGATGCTATTCTTTGCAATTTTGTAAACCAGTCTATTTCATTTTTTAGGCAGTGCTTTTACATGAAGAAAAAAAGAAACAAAAAACAACCATATTTTTGAGTCCCCAGTCAGGTATGTGGGTTTTAAAAAAAGTCTCTTATCTTACTTACTGAATAATATACCACATGCCTTTTATACTTCTTTTGAATAACTGGTTTTGACAGGGATTGGACATCAGAATCACTTGGGGACCTTTTAAAAAGGTAGTTGCTGTACCCCCACCTTCATTTTCTAAATCAAAAGTTTCAGGGTTTGGCTTGGGCCATCTGGGTGATTCTTACACCATTCCTGAATAGGAATCATGGTCTTTAATTATTTATTCCTCTCCCATATTTTTTGTTTCTGTCTTGTCAGCAATGCAGACTCCTCATGCAGATCTGCCATGCACCAAAATAAGGGGGAAAAGTAAATGCTGGCCTGAGCTCCATTCTGTGTCTCAGCTATATCATTTAATCTTCCCTTCAACAAATATTTATTGAGCCCTACTGTCCCCTCCCACTACTTGTAGGACACCAGCCTAAGCACTGGAGATAACAGCAGTGAACCAGCAAAAGCCCCTTTGCTCATTTATTCTACATTCTTGTCAGAAGTAGTATATGATTAATATTCTTGTGGTCATAAGTAAGACTATAAAGCAGGAAAAGGGAAAGAGAATTTGGATAGGTAGGCACCCTCTGTGATAAAATAACATTTAAGCAAAGAATCAAACGTACAAGTTAAGGGAAATTGAATTTACTGTTACAGCAGAACCTGAAACAGTTTTTGTCTTTTGGATTCCCTGGATGCAGTGAGACAGGAAGGAGAGGTCAGAGAGTAGATGGGTCTGGTCCCAAAGCCCTGTAAACAATGATCGGAAGGGTTTTTTAATCTTTAGTAAGATTGGCAGTTAATAGAGTTTTGTTGTTTTGTTTTGTTTTGTTTTTAAGATTATTTATGCATACAAGAGCTGGGGCACAGGCCAGAGATGTGCAGGGTGAGCGGATCCACCAGAGAAAGAGTGGGCAATAGAACAGGCAGACTGACTGAAATACACTGCTGAGGGGAGCAGCGGGCAAGACAGGAGAGGCCTGCTTCACCACGTGGGCTGCTCCCTGGCGGGCAAGGGGAACGAACTCGTGCTACAGAGGCTTCGGACTGCTTCATCGTGCTGTGCTTAACCCATTGTACCACCAGGGAGGCCCAGTTAATGGAGGCTTTGAACAAAGATGTATGTGAATTCTGTTTTGAAAAGATTTAGTATGGCTGCTATGAGGAGACAAAGTAGAAATCAACCAGGAGTCTCCTGTAGTTTAGGGGAGAGATGATGATGGTCCAGGCTATTGAGGAATCACTGGAGGCAGTGAGAGCTAGTCACCTTTTTGATATTTGAAGGTAGCACTTGCATGATTTGTTGATATATTGGATGGTAAAGTGTAACAGATAATGAATCAGAGGTGACACAAAGATTTTGGACCTAAGCAAACAGAAGAATGGAAGTCAGATTTTCTTTGCTGGGGTACAAAGGGGAAGTAGGGTTCAGTTTTAAAAGTGTGTGTTTAAGACTTGCTGGATATTCTGGTAGGGATGACTGCCCAGTTGAATCTAAATGTGCTTGACATTTCAACTTAAGTCTAGCAGAGGGTAGATTTGAGTACTGCCAGTGTAAAAATAGTAAAGGTGAATCTGAGAAATAACACCTAGGAAGCAAATGCTGATAGAAAAGAAAAAGGCATCTAGAGGAGGGCAGGACTGCCACGCTAAAGACTTGGGTTGTTGCAATCCAAGCAGTGCCTCATGGGAGGGATTGACAGCTGTGCATGTTGCTGCTCATAGGTCCAGTGTAGTTTAGACTTAGAATTTTTTTAAATATGTATTTATTTTTGCACAGGAACTGCGGTGTAGGCCAAAGGTGGGGGAGTGCGGGGTGAGAGGGTTCAGCAGAGAAAGAGTGGGGAGCAGAACAGGTGGATCCACTGTAATACACTGCTGAGGGGAACAGCAGGCAAGACTGGAGAGGTCTGCTGTGCCATGTGGTTAGCTCCCTGACCGGGAATTGAACTGGTTCTGCAGTGGCTGGGGATTGCTTCATAGTGCTGAGACTTAACCCGTTGCACCACCAGGGAGGCCCTCGACTGAGAATTAAGCACTGGATTTGGCCATAGAGAGGCCACTGGTGACTTTGAGATGAGCCATTTCTTTTTTATTTTATTTTATTATTATTTTTTAAAGATTTATTTATACAAGCACTGGGTACAGTCAGAAGCGCGGGAGGGTGAGAGAATTCACCAGAGCCAGAGCAGGGAGCAGAGCAGGCAGAAGGACCGAAGTACACTGCTGACGGGAGCAGCGGGCGGCAGGAGAGGTCTGCGCGCCATGTGGGACCCTCTTCTGGTGGCCGGGGATCAAACCGGTGTTGCAGAGGCTGCGGGCAGCTTCACAACCCAGCGCTCAACTGCTGCGCCACCAGGGAGGCCCGAGATGAGCCATTTCTTTTGTAGTAAATTTAGGGGAGAAAATTCTGCATACAGGGAGTTTTGGTGAGAAACGCTATGATAGGCTCCCTCACCTCCCTTATAGGTGCAAAGCACCAGGGCCCCCATCCCTGCCGGTATCCCAGGCCTAAGGGAAGATTAAAGGGGGAAAGCACTGGTAGAGGAAGCAAGACACTCTGAGGGCCTTTTTCTGGTATGTACCTTTGAGTCCTGAAAGAGAAGGGAGAAAACTGAAGGGGGAAAGAAAATCAGTAACTTTAACGTACTAAGTCTCCTTTTCTGCCTTATTTAGTAAGAAGGAATAAAGCTATAAAACATAAGACAAACATGGGAGTTCTAACCTGCAGACACACTAACTGCTTAATCTTTAAACTGCTTAATCTCATCTTGCACAATAAAGTAGGGTTAAAGAAGGAAAATTATATGACCAAATGAAGTGGCATATGTAGTTTTCTTAACTTGAGTATATAGTTTATGGGAAAAGTTTTAAGTTTTTAAAATTTAAAACTTGTTATAACCTGACATTTACATATGTCATATAAAACACACCATATAGTCTATGCTTACCCTTTATACATTTTATCTTACTGCCTGTGAACAAAAATAATTTGCTTTTAGATCAGGGAGATGTGCAGTATGTTGGAAAAATAGTATTCCGGGGTCCTTGGTGCTGTGAAATGAGTCAGGATGTGGTCTCACCCCAGGAAAGCTAAGAATGCTCCAGATCATCAGTGTTTGCTTGTCTCTACTTTGAGTGTTATTAATGACAGAATAATAAGTGGAATTAAGTTATTTAAGTACTTACATTTCTGTCAGTACCAAGACTGGTTATCTCAAGTATTATAAATGATATAAGTAGAAATAGGCATTTAGTTTTATGATATGTGTACTTGACAGTTTTTTTTTAAGGTGGCTAGGCAAATATTTGGATCAAATCTTTTTACAGTCAAAAATTGAAAGGTATGAAAAAAAATTGAAAGGTATGGGGGTTGAAGTTTGCATCCAGTCAGGTCAGCAATTCAAAGAGAGATAAAATAGAAGTCTTCAGAGAATACCAACCTTATCCATAAAAGGGAATGGTATACATAACAGCTTAGACATCAGATGCTTTATGAGAAAACCAAATGCAGCTGTTTCCTGGGAAGTTTTTGTAATTGTTCTGGGTAGAATACATGAACTTAAAAGCAGTTAACAGTTCTGGGAACAACTCCGCAGTCAAGTAGACATAAATGAGGTAAGAATGGGGCCTACTTTGAGATGACTTGATTGACAGCTAGAGCAACCTGGAAAGGTAGATGAGGAGATTGACAAGCTGAGTCTCAATTGATAAACGTTTATGGGAAAGAGTTTCCCCACCGTTCATGGGATTGTTTCCCACAGATTCTCTTTGAGAGTTTGAGGTCACTTAGTTACCACATGTAAACAAGCCAAAAGAGTGTTGTTGTTACAAACTTAATCCTTGGACAGTAATCTCCAAAACATTTTTCATGGGAAAATTCTGATCCTTGCTTATTCAAGATAGGCACTTTGCCAAGGCTTAGGTGTTAGTACCGAGTCTCCGTAGTCAGACTGCTTGGTAGAATTTCTACTCCCAGATCCTTGTTGCTGTGAAATGAGCTTTGCGATCTTGAAAAACCTAGTAATTTCCTCATCTGTTACAAGGGGGTCATAATAATACCTTACTGGTGAGGATGATGAGAAATCCATGTAAGGCACTTAGAACACCAGCACCTCCTTATAGTGAGAGTAGCGTGAAGGTTTATGGGATTAGCAACTGCTTTGATATTCCTGCAGAGTATCTACCAGCCTTGTTCCTGCTCAGGTCTTTTATATGTCTTGAAAGTAGAATTTTATTATACTTTCATGAATTTTTTTAAATACATACCTAAAGGAGGCATTACCAATTGACAATAAGTTAGGATTTTTGTAACTTAAAAGTTTCTAAATTTCTTAAAAAGCCATGAAGCTTTTTACCTCAGTCAAGGATTATTACAATAAATATGTCTGTGTCAGAAAAAAAAAGAAATATATGTAGGTGATTAAAATCTGTACTCTCTAATAAACTCTCCAGTTAAGTATAGGATAGCCATTAAGACTCTCAGATTTTTCCATGGTAAGTTTAATCCAGTTTGTCTGTGTAGGTATAAATATGAAATGTTTCTCAAGTGTACGTAGTAAATTTTCTCAAAATTTTTCCATTTCATAGTACTGAATGTCTATGACACACAGGTAGTTTCCGGAGGAGAGCCTATTGGTATGAATACCTCCTGCTCTCATAAATTAGCTGCATTAAGTTTTCCAGGTATCTTATGTCTGCAGTTGACAATACCATCTGTCTCATCAGGTGCTGAGCTGAGAAGATTAAAACCCCCAGCTCATAGTACATACCCAGCTAAGTTCTTTTTCCTCTCCTGATGCCTGCCTCTTTTCCTTTCTGTGGGGTATGTACAGTTCTAAACTCCCAAGCAAAATAGTAGATTAAAAAATTCCATGAATTTCCTTGATCCTCAGTGGTACCACCTCCCCCACATACTCACAGCTAACACAATGCCTTAGATATTCAGTAAATTTTATCGATGAGAAATGCATTCATTTTGAAGG